AGTGATTCATTGAGGTTTCGAAAACGCGCGAGCCTCCCAAGACGAGTTACTTGTACCCAGAAGAGCTTTGGTACTCGCAAAGCGAATGTAATGAATTTGAAGATTGGTTACTCACCCCGCCAACAACCACAATCTGTCCGTCTCGGGCGGCACACGAGTGTCCTGCGCGAGCGGGCGGTTCGTTATTCGACGTATCGATCTTGATCCACGTGAATGACGGGATCGTCAAGATCCATACGTCAGTGTATTGTTTCTGTACGATATCAGAGTCAGTACTTGTCGGGATTATGAACATTGAAATACTTCTTTACCCCCATGACGCGTGGAAAAGAAAAGGGGTGTGGGTGGAAAGAAGAAACCGAAGCGTACTAACCTGTTGTCCTACCGGCAGCAGGTTCTGACCACCGTACATATAAATGTTGAAAGAGCTTGCGTCGGGCGCCGAAAACACAACGGCGCAAGGATTGACGCGCACTTGTGGCTTCTCGTCACCAGACGTCTCCTGGTGGTACCACTGACTGCTTGCAATATCATACACGTCGATAGTAGTCATGGACGAGAAGGCGTCCGTCGTGTCGTTGTCGCCAACCACGCCACCGCCAAGACCCAACAAGATCCCACCTGGGCCCCAGCCGGGAACGTACACGAGGACACCGTCCGCACGTTCGGCAAACCCGTCCTGGTTCTGCTCCCCCGCCCACGTGATGTTGCGGTATGCGCCACTATCTGGCGCGCCGGAGTTCTGGAGCGAGTTGACTTGTGCGTTGGAGTAGCCGGGATGCGTGAACTCGAGGAGACTCTTGAGGTATACTCGAGGGATCTGATTCGACCATCCCGGTGTCGTTGCCCAATCCACCCGGCCACCAAAATACCAGCTCAGGCCGAGTTCGGGGACTGAGACACCGGCTCCTTCAGCCGCACGTTGCACGGGTGCACCCCCCGCGTCGGAGTATTGGCCAGCTGACGTCTTCAGGTTTTGAAATTCGGTCCAGGTGAATGCCGCTATATCGTACTGCCATGTTGAGACGGGCAATGGCTCGGTCGATGGGAAGTCGAACTCGCCTCCGTATAGAAATAGATGGTCGAAGTCGTTCCAGAGATATCCCAGCGACACGGCTGGCGGCCCGGAAGGTTGTGGCATCCCGCTCACAGAGGGAGAGCTAACATCCCATGACTTTGTCAGATCTACCGTGATAAAGTCGCTGGCTACTTTGTGTTAGCTGTAGGTAGCGATTATAATATTGAAACATTCAGAGACGTACTCCACGTATTGCTGGTCTGATCTGTAGTCGTCTTCTTTCGACCACCGTAATAATAGAGCGTACCATTTAGGATAGCGCCTAAGTTGTTATTAGCACCTTCTTAATCCATTCTTAACCTTTCCGACAATACTTACTTTGCCCAGCCCACCTCTTGCACACATCCGTGGGACTATTTGCACGGTCTTTTAGTACAGATGTAACTATCGGCTCCCGAATTACACCTGCATCTGCGCCGTTCATTTTCACCTTGTTACGGCCATTATTATAACTTATTGCAGGCAGGACAACCGCAATCAGTAAGGCGATCAAGGTAAACCTGTGTATTCCCGCTATTAAAGTAGGAGGTGAAGTCGCCGCGGGTTTAATCTTCGGTCGTTTTTCTGGCAACAGTTTCAAAAGCCATTGAGACTTTTCTCGAGTCGACTCCCCTTCAACAGCGTGCTTGCGCTCGGGTATCAATCGCGACTCTCGCCTCGTAGTATTCTCATCACTAAATTGCTTCTCCTCAACACTCTGTCTGCCAGTCGAGTGGTCGACGTTCTCCCCATCGTCGTCATTCAGACCAATTTCCCGAAAACCCGACTTTCTCCCTTTCTGGATTCTACCGACTCCGGGAATCGCCATATATCTCGAACCCTCTGCTAACCTGTCGGAGGTGATCTGGGAGTTGAAGTGTGGTCGTTCGTATGTAAGGCGTTGGTCGCACAGATCTGTAGTGCTATGTCGAGCTCGGGTGGACGTCATAACTATAATGGGGCAGTTGTCATTTCTTTATCCAAAGTTTTCATGCGCTTCGCGCTGCAGCGCGTGATGCAAAGGTAAGATAAGGTGGCGTGGGACACATGAGGTCACAGCGGGCTTTTTAACAATTATACGCTCTATTAACCATGTAAATCAATTGGCGGGGTCATCAACGATCGATCAACGGTCCGACTGTGGCAGTAACTAGGCCTGCCTGCGTAGAAGAAGAGCTAGAGGTTGCATAATGTCCATAAACGTCGAGAACGATCCCCCAATTCTAGCATTAGCAGCTGTACAACAGGGAGATGAATTAGACCCCAGACCAACTACATCATCATACCATACCTATTTGATCGGGATCAAAACATGTTAGATAATTAAATAGTTCAATATGCCTACCCTGGACTGTGGCAAGAGTTACCTACATACGCATACTTGCGCCGTTCACCCTGTTTTGATCCTGAAGTCATTCATTGCCGTTTTAGGACTACTGCTCTGAATTGGCATGATTTGATTGGTTCCCAGTAGAACAGGGGCTCCTCGAAAATGACGACACGATCCCCTGATCTGGTTTTTTTACACCCGAAACACCAGCAGCTATGACCTTTCATTCGTAGGCGATCGGGGCAGAAGCTCCAACCGATTATGCAAGGCATCGGACGGTCGAGAGCTGGTTCTAAGCTGGCAGGCAACCAGTGCACCGCCTACTACAAGAGAGATATCATTCTATGCAATTGCAGTAACTAGATACAGCGTTCCATGTTTTTTCGGGTAGGATCTATCCGAGCAGTCTAATAGCCGCCCTGGATATTAACGCCCATAATTTGGTAACAATAGGAATGGCGCTACACCGAATTTACGTCAATCTACGGGCAATCCTTCGGGACACCAGAAGCTCTGTTTCGATTTTGCCCAACCTGTGTTGCTCAAGAGTCAAATACACTCACTCATGATCTAAAACGAAGTGCTTATTTAAGTCTACATAAGTTGTAACGCGCCTCATCATCCCATCGGCACGTTTAGCAATCGATGAGGTCGTAGTCCATATACTATGTGTGTATTGTGCATTTCTTTGCCCTCGACGCGGTCTCTATGACATCAACAAACCCGATGCACAGGCTCCCCAGCCGTCACAAAGCCGGCAACATTCGCTCTACAGGTCCGACTATAATTATCAAAAGTTTCCTCTGAATACCAAGCCACATGCGGCGTCGTCGCCAAATTGAGGCCCGCGGTGTCTGCAGCGAGTAAAACACTATTGGCCGGTTCCGCCGGCTCCTGGGAGTAAACGTCGGTGCCAGCGCCCGCGATCCTCCCTTCCTTGAGAGCAGACACGAGAGCCTTCTCGTCCACGATGCCGCCCCGCGACACATTGATCAGCAAGCCGTCTGGTCTCATCATACCGAACTCGGTCTCGGAGATGAGATTGAGCGTCTCGGGTGAGCGCGGCAGACAAACAACAAGGACCGAGGACTCCCGGATGACCCTCTCGAACGGGACGCGGCCCTCCTGCGCCGGAGCCCCCTTGCGTCCGGCCACGAGGGTTTTCATCCCTAGCATTTTGGCCGTCACATCGATGTTTCGCCCGATTGCCCCGTAGCCGATGATGCCAAGGATTTCGTCGCGGCATGTCCTCGGCGGCTTACCGTCAGGCCCGTTCATGGTGCTTTGCTGTGAGCCTTTGGTAGCCCAGTCACCGGCGCGTGTGAGCGAATGTGTCAGCATGATGGAGCGGCGCGTAGTGAAGTATAGCGTGAGCACGTGCTCTGTGACCGTCGTGACATTGCAATGCGGCGTGTTGCCCACGACTATACCGCGAGCTCGACACGCTGCCAGGTCCACAGCGTCTGTGCCAGAGGCGATTACCGATACCACTACATGACGTTCACAGTTAGTAGGTGTGTGATGTAAGATAAATCTTTCTTTAAATGACTCTCTTAGCCGATAGTGCCAAAGCAATTCAGAACAGGTAATAGGTATTCGCACTCTTCAACTGTGGGGTTACCTCCGCGCTCAGAATCTTAGCCGTCATCGGCAAGATCGTCATAATCACGATATCGGCATCCCGAACCCTCTCGGCTACCTGGTCCGGTCTTGTGCGCTCGTAGTTCCGGAATTCGCATGTGTGAGGTGCCGGGAGAGTGAAGTTGGGCAAGGGGCAGAAAAATGTCTCTAATGCGACGATGACCCAGTGTGTCTTTGACTGGGCCATCTTGGGAGGGGGGGCCGGTCGGTCGGTAAAGGGCAAGCTGTGACTTCGAGTGTCAATGATTGTTGAGCCTTTAGGTAACGGAAATATGTTTGAGACAAGTTCTAAACACCTACCAAGGTAATGAGTGAGCTCCCATGAAATATGCTCTCATTCCGGGACCGGGCTTACGATATGTCGCGGAAGGGCGCGTTCGCGTTAGACCCGAAAGTCTCCACATAGTCAATTATCGATTAAGTCAATCTAATTGTTAAGTTCCTGAGGAATATATCAACCGGCTTCGCATTCAAGTAATCTAACCAAGTTTAGGGGGTGGTTTCAGGGGAAATATATTAAGAGCTTGCTAGATGTGATATGACCTGTCCAGCACGCAACAAAGTGAAACCAGCTCTTATTGGAACAAACCATTCTCTAAGGTTTCCCAGGATATACTGAGAAAAGAATGGAAGGAATAGAGGAACAATAGTCCTAAACCACAACAAAAAGAAAAGCAACTGTCATGACCAAATGAATGCATGTAAAATGCACGATGAATGAGGTTGTTAAAGGTGTAGTCTGGGCTGGCCCCTGAATTCCGGAACCTTATTTACTTGTCGGCAGCTCTGGAGCTCCCGAAGGAGCTTCCGAAGTAGCCTGATCAACAGGTCTGGCAGCTGCTAACCACCTGACCGGACCCCCAGCCTCTATCGCAATATATCTCACACGTTTCTTTATAAATCTAGATATCTTCTCCTTCACTTATGGGACCTCTTTAGAAGAGGTTAAAAATATGTTAAAAAGAAAAAGAAGGGTCTGGCCGGGGATTGAACCCGGGACCTCTCGCAACCTGTGTTCAGGGTTAACCCTAAGCGAGAATCATACCACTAGACCACCAGACCACCAAGATGAAGTCGAGATGTGTGTGTAAGCACACAATCGTTCGACTTGGATGACCACGATAGAACTCGAACCTATGACTAGGAATATATTCATACACTTTAACCACTCAGCCACGCTGCCGATATTTTCTTAGTGCGATATGTGTCGGTCACCAAAGTGGGTTGATGACTGGCTTGTCTCGCAGTTGTTCGGTGTGCTTGCAAGGATACCTGGTGGAATTAAGTGGGGTCTATTTTTATATGTATTGTGTGTGTGCGCTAAGACTAAAGTGCCGAAGTAAGAAGCTAAAAGGGGCGACGTATGAAAATAACCTCCCACAGTGGATGTAATCAATTAGGTACCTCTCTGTGCTCTAAGAGCGTTATACATAGTCTACTTATAAATCTATGAAAAATCATACGTAAAAATGCGCTGTATGTTGAATTATGACCTTTTTTCAAGATTACCTACCCCCTTTAGAAACAAGCCGTTTTCTTTGATTGCAGAAACGTCTAAAAAAGGGGTGAAATGTTAGACATAGTTGTCCCAGAGTGAATAAATAGCCTACGCAGTCACATAGCAGGTAGGTAAAAAGGGGTCAGTAGCCATGAAGGTATATTGGTCAAATGGCCCCTAGCCCTCCAATAGGTAGTTAGGAGGGATAACCTCAATATATAGACGAAGTCTAATAGGCGTACACTAGGGTGTTACCTATCCACCTGACATGAAAGTAGAACAGCTCAAGCGAATTATAATATATTTATTTCAAATCCTACAAGACCAATTGACCAAGATTACCGTACTATAGAGGTCTACCTAATCAGAAATAATATCACACATGCCAGGGTCTCGTCTCATTTGGTAAAAGTTTAGTCTTTAGTTACCATTCCGTCCATCTTTTAAGTCGTCTCAGGCTATAATCGCCACAATAGTTTCCATCAACAATTTAGTCACCGTTATAATAAGGTGACGGTGCTAACTATTATCATTTATAATGCACTGCAAACATACATTGTTCGGTTTGATAGGGAATTTCCAGAGAGTGTAGCAGACATGTTAAGTCAAGATGACAGTGCACCTGAATACAACCAAACCGTACCACTTAAATAGAACTGGCTATTTTTGTAAACTCAGGAGGTTCATTTATGATATTTACTAGCGTGCCTAGACTTGTAATTTCGATGAAAGCGTAACATCCTTATGTCACACCGTGGACTCAAGATAAATAGACGGACAATTTTTAAGCTACACTCATTGAGATGTTCGTCCTTTTCGCGCAACCACGCCATGAGGATTCACCTTAACCTCTTGACAAGTAGTACCATTCTGTGGTGGGGTTATAAGCTGGCCTCAAGCCTGAACTTAAGATGTTCGCCACTGCCATCAACATAATTTACTATTTCCCTTGTTTCGTTTAAAGTCAAAGAGTATCTTTATCATAGAGTATGTAGGTTGGGCTTATACACACTCTTATAACGGGTTCCACATGCTAAAGTCTATAAATATCGCACTCCGACTAAACCCTCTTGTACCACCTACGCGGATGGAGGGGACTCCTGGCAATTCTAATATCTACGTGCTTAACTAGCAATATTAGAAACTCAGTACGAAAGCGTCTGCTAACTTATTATAGCGGTATAGTAGTCCTGCCCTTTCCTCCTAGCCGCCAGGCCTCCGTTTTGCTATCGGCAGGTTGACCTACTAAAGTACTATATTAAAAAAAACAAAACAGTTAAACCTATCTAAGATATAATACTTCTTTTGCCTTAAATAATACCGCTTTTACTTAAGCCACCTTTTTTTTTTATATTTTTTTTAAAACATATTAGTTTTACTAGCTAATTTTTTAATAAAGTTATTAAAAGCGCGCTAAAAACTAATAATAAATCTTAAAGCTATAAAATAATTTTTTTTATACTTAATTTTATTTTATAAATATAAAAAAAAACCTAGTTTTAATTTATTTAAACTTATAAGTAGCGGTTTATTATTTTTTATTTTTTTATATATATTATAAGCTTTTTTTTAATTATTTTTAAAAATAACAACTAGCGATTTTAAACTAATATTTTTTAAATAACATTTTATAGCTTTACTTTTTTATAAAAAAAGTAAAATAATAGCCTAAAAGCACTTTAAAAAATATATTAAGCAACTTATTAAAAATAAACCTTTTATAGTTAAAAATACTTAAAAAAAATAAAATAAGCTTTAAAAGCGTTAAACTTAATAAACTTTATACTTTAAAGTTTTTAACCTTTTTATAATTTTTTATTTTTATTAGTTTATTTAATTATAATAATATATTAATAAAACTTTTTATAAATATTATAATAATTTTAAAGTTAATAATTAAAAAACATAAATCGATTTTATATTACGCTTTAAAAACTTTAATATTTAAGCGCTTTTTAAATTATTTTTTTATATTTACGTTAAACTTTTAATTTAAAAATAACTTATGCTTAATAATTATAAATATAAATATAAAAAAACTTTAAACTTAGCTTTTAATATAATTAAAGTATAATAAAAGCTTATAGCTTTTATAAACTATAAAGTAATAAAAAAACAAAAAAAAAAATTATTTTGCTTAAGCTAATATATAAAAGCTAAAATAAATTAGCAAAAATAAAAATAATAAAAAAGGCTTTGCTTATTTACTAGTTAAAATATATATAATATAATATTAATTAAAGTTTAAGCAGACTAAATATATCTTGTTTTTAATACGCCGTCGTTAATATAATTATTTAATATAATAAATATTTACTAAGCTTGCTATTAAAATAAGCTTAAATATAAACTTAACTTATTAAAAGATTATTATAATAAATATTAATATAAGTATAAAGCTTTAAACGTTATAATTAAAAGCAAACAATATATTTTATAACTTTAAAACTAAAATATTTTTTTACGTTATTATTTTACTAGCTATTATTAGCAGCTTTTAACTAAGCACGCTATTATATTTAACTTATTTTTAATTTTATATAGTAGTAATATATAATTTAACTAATTTAGCTTAAACTTAAATCGTAGTAATAATAAATATTAAAAAAAATAAAATTAAAAAAATAACTAAAACTAGCTACGCTTAAAATAATAGCAAATAAATAAAAAAAATATTTAATTAGCTTTATAAAAAATATTAACTTTATTTACTAGTATTAGTTTTTTTATTACCTTTATTTTAAATTACATGTTTTATTTTACTAGCTTAATTTTAATATAAAGCATTTAAATAAATAGCTTTAACCTTAGCTTTATAATAGTCGATTAAATATTTAACTATTTTAATTTTAAATATATAGATTTTATATTACTTTAATAAAAAACAAATATACTTAAAAAAATTTTTTTTTTTATTATATAAAACGCTTAATAAGCTTTAACATTATATACTTTTAATAAATAATACTTATAAAAATGCGCAGCTTTATAACCTTTAAATAAACACAAGTGCTAATTTAAATAGTACGCACACTTTATACTTTATTTTTTTTCTGGCTTAAAAAAAATTTATATTACTTATACTATCTTTATAAAGAGAGAGAGCAAGACGCGCTCTCACAACAACAATACACACACTTTTAAACCTCTAATTGACTGGCTCGCTTATTCTGACAACTTAAACAGCTCTTCCAATAGCTAAAATAAAAAGATCATACTTTAAAGACGGTACATAATTTAAACACGGCGATTATAACAAGGATTCGCTAGGACATTTAGTAGACTACGTCTACAATATTATGTTCTTTCGGAATTATCTAGAGACTTTGTCCTCCCCATTCTGATCACCTCACATGATGCCAACCCTGTAGTTAGTACACGCAGCTGATCCGTGACCCCTGTGCCAACAAGAAAGAGCGCAATGAAGAGGTCACATTCTACCTACAACGATGAAAAGCAAAAGGGAACTATTCAAGCTTCGATTCAGGGACTCCGCGCCTTGCTCGCTCCTCGTTACGTGCCAGCATTGCGGCTTTCTCCTCCTCTGTAAATATTTTAGGAACATTCTCTGCTGCGGGGTGGAACATATCCCAGCGGGATATTTTGCGGCCGTCCGCGGTGTGGAACCTCGGGGGTAACGGTAGACCCTCGTAGTATTCTCTGATCTGGGTTGGGTTGAGGCCAACTGCATCGACGACATTCCGTTCGGCGTCGAAAGTACGAAGCACACCATCGTAGCCCAACGCACTTAGGCCGTTCCCGTCTGGATCCCTCTTTATAGAGCTCATTATGTCGCGCAGAGACATGTCATCGCCTCCAGATTGTCGGTCTGCGACGGCTTGGGGCATGGTCGGGTTCTGGAGTTGATCGAATGGTTAGCATATTGGCAAATGAGAGAGTTCGAGGGGCATATGTTACTGGGTTGTCCGCCATATTGCCAGTGAGTCGATGCAAGTAAAAATGTCGTGGCTTGAAGGTTTTGAGCGAGAATTGCGTTTTCCAACTGCGGGGTATGTAACAGGGACAGCTTTAGAGGGTCATAAGAAGTATGTAGTAATAGCAGAGGTGATCAGAATAATTAGATGAGAGCAACGGAAGGTTGAAGCGTCAGAAGATTCTGCTGCTGAAGGTTGACTGCAATTTGAGAATGGCGATAGAACAGGAATGGAAGATAGGTTAGGTAGATGCTTTCTGTTCGAGAGATTCCCGAGGATGGGCTCTAACCTTAGGTAGTGGGGCGCAGCGGGAGACACTGAGACAGCAGCACCGCCACATCGATCACGACGTCAAGGCAGCCAAAGCGAGGGTCGGTGGTGAGGTCGTTGCGCTGTGCCGTACGAGACACAGCCGCTCTGACCAACAGGCAGTTCCCTTATCAGGGAGGCGATAGCGAGGTTCGAAAGGGATCACGAATTAATCAGTATAAGTAGAGCAGACTTCTCCTGCCTACTGAACAACAAAAAAGCAGAGCCATCATTCCAATCCTCAATATTTACACCTTCTTCGTTATCCTGCCAAAGATATCTTGTTGCCCAACATGCAAGCCAACCTCTTTGAGATCCTCGCCATCGCTTCCGCGTTCTCGGCGGTGCATTCCGCTCCAGTAGAGACTGCTGAGGGCCAGGTCGCCCAAGGACAGGTCAACGGGACACAGGCCAATAAGGCTCACACCAACGAGACTCAAG